AAGAAGGGAACAATTCCCTAATCTGCAGCGTACGATGTTCGCCATCGACTCCAGAATTGAAATACATAATCGGAAACAGATCGAATTTTTGGTCTGGATTTGGAGGCGATTCCACCAGACTGGGAGTGGAATGCCGTCGGGAAAAGTTGTACGAAGCCATGACCTCTGTTCCGCGTCGGACAGCCGCTCTATCTGACTCGGGGACTTGAGTAATAGCGAGGGTTTGTGTTCGTACCCCTTGTATCTTCTCTTCGGACGCTCTCGATCGGTTGGCTCATCATGCATGGATCCCCGTAGTGCTTGATTGCGTCGAAATCAAAGATCAGACTCTCGGCCGTTCCTCTCGGACTCAGCAGGACCAGATGCTGAATTGTTCATTCGAGCGTAATATGTTGCTTGCTGGTGTAAACGTTGTTCGGAAACCCTTTCAAAAGAAGATTTGCATAGGAAGAAAAGGCGTGTCCATCAACTTGTTAACGACTGTATTAACGATACGACTAACGCTTACGATTCTCGACCTGTGGGAAAGTATATCTATTCCACCGCTTATAATGGCTCTGGTGTTTGTGGCCTTGTTTAGTGTTTTTATTTGGGCTTCTTGTTTATTCCATCGGAAACAACGGCGAAATCCGAGCGGAGAAAGGGGTTCGGCGCCATGAGATCTCACGGTGGTTTGAGTGGGGTCTGCTCTTGACTTCAGCCGGAGACTTTAGTGAAAGGATTATCGACAAGCCGTTGAGCACTTGAGTTGACCGCTGGCCGGTCGATTTTCGCGCATCACTGGTCAAGGGACAGAACTTTTTTTCCATTGTTGTTTCTTCATTGAGCTTTCGCTGATTCTGTGACTACTTTCGCCGATTCCGCTCCGCGTAGCTGAGTGACAGATGTCGGAAGTGTGTGGTCGTTGAGGTTTTTTTTTCGGGATCCAAGGCGACGGCCGATGCTCGGAAATCGCCGATAGGCAATCAGAAAATTATCAGACTCGAGATCTCACCTACATCGCTCGAGTTTCTCGGTCCATCAAGCTCATACAACAGGCTCCAAACGCTTCCGTGCGTTGTTTCCCATCATTCGTTCCATTCTTTGATCAGATCCTACGTGAATCAATTAAATCGTGCTCTGAAACAGCGGTGTTTCCGATGAGAGAAACTTTCTATCTTACTGAATGAGTGTCCACAGAATTTTCGCTCTCCAAAATGAGCGAGAATTCCCTGATTCTGATCGCCGCGATCTAGAGATGGTATGCGGGAATCGTCGCGAATCCTCCACATGTCCACGCTTGAGCGTTCTGAACCCTGGTCCGTGACTCTGTGGGCTCCCGTTAGTGATTCGAATCGTGGTTGAATCGCAAGATTTCTTCAATCAAGAGCCTCAGAACAAGCGTGGCCGTTTTCGGAGAAAATAAATCCAATTTCCGATGGGCGATCGAATCGCGGCGTTTCTTGTTACGATTTGTAACCTAATCTAACCGAGGAGCTTTTGTTGTTTCGATCACAAACGTGGAACGAGTCGGAGTCACGTCCGAGAACTCCAGTTTCGTCGTGGTTCCCCCACTCCGATGCTGCCTAACACTGGCTGGCTAAAAAGGCAATGCGCTTAAGTCACTACATCCTCTCTTTAATGCCCTGATGGCCTGCGAAACCGGATCATATTATGGTTAGCGGAGACGCACGCGTGTCGGATGCTATTGTTGTTGATATTGTTGTTTTTTACCTCTCTCCCGCACGCTTGTTGTTGTCCTTTCTGATCTCCCGGGCATCTTTTCACCGCTGATCTCCGGATATCGAATGGCAGCGGGTTGAGCGCTAGGACAAAAGATTGAAAACGACTCCAGGTCTTCGACAAGCTATTGTCTAGTGATGAGAACAGACCTGATGAGCGGGACGAAAGTGGTGGATCACTGTGGGAAATTCCTCTTTTTTCCTATTCGCCAGCTCTCAACCCTTCCGCTAACTAATCGTGGATGCGTCGGACGAGGAGGCTCATGACTTCATCGACATCGCTCAAACCGTTCTCAAAAGGGCTCCGCAGCGATTCCCCAGAATAGAGTTCAATCATAACGAGAAGCTTCGTCCGAAAATCAAAACCTGAGTACAGAGTCGGACAATTGAAGAAAACTGAGCTCGTGGGACTCGAAAGATCGCTCAAGCCCTCTCAGAATATTCCATTTGCCATCAAGTGGTGGTTGTGTCTTTAATGGTGGCAGTAGCTGAGGCGGCAGCCACCTCGGATGGTCATAAAGTCATAAATTAAGTGACCGATGTCCAGCACATTCATCTTTCGCAATCGATAAACTGCTGCTTTTTTGCGGACCAGACCGAGGCACAGCTGAGATGGCCATTTAAATTCGTTTCGGCTTCCGCCCACCCCCGCTTCCGGAACGCTTTATGAGAGCGGCATTCAATTCTCTGATGCTGCCGGCGGAGTCCCGTTGCGCGGAATGCGCATCTAATGTTTTCCTTTTGCTACTGCACTCACAGCAATGACTCACATGCAACAACGTGGAACGCAGTGGACTCCCGCATGATCCGAAGACAAATATTCATTCACTCCATATAAGTCTGCGATACCTCGGAACTGTCAGAGACAGGAACAGAATCCGATCGCGCACTCTAGGCGTTTCAATACCAGACGTCTTCAGCGGGGTCCGTATTGACAAGCACTGAAGCATTGGCATGCACCTTTGAGGCCAGGCTTATCCGTGACCGTTTCTTCCTTTTGACGAACGTTGCCTGCGAACCCGCGAAGTTCGTGGATATTCCCCGGAGAGTTCCTCAACCTCGTCTCACAATGCTTCCCCTCAGCGAATCCCCATCATCGCAGCGGGAAGAATTATCATGACCATGACCCCATGCAGCATGATATATGCGGAATGGCTCGGCACAAGACGTTTTCTTATCATCTCCGATGTCGGACCCTCACGTATCCTGGAAATTGTCCCCGCGAGCTCGGAGAGGCTCCCTTCTCGGAAAGGCCGAGAATTTCTCCCCGAACTTATCATCCGGCGCTGTGGAGCGATGCAGTAGCTCCAAACTATTCTCGTCGACGCCGCGCCGCGGTCGATGACCTGTTGAGCTGGTCAAGGGGACATTGTCAGTCTCTCGGCACCACGTCGACAAGCTGGATGTTCTCATTCACACGACACAGTGGGAACATTGCGACGATGAAAAGCAAAATCACTTTTATTGAGGCCAATAAAATCTTTCGTGAACCTCTGACAGCGACCCGGGGAAGAACCGATATCGTCTGAATGGGAGCATTCCTGGTCGAGCCTATGGCGTCGATCCAACACAAACCGCAAACGCTCTCGATTCAGCCTGCAGCGGACTCCACAAGAAATTATGATCCGATCCGAATTGTTCCTCCGCGGGCTTTCCGTGAATTATCTGCTTCACATGAGGTCGAGAGGCCTAAATGCAAGGCTAAAGCTTGATTTTTCGCCGCGTGAATCTCGATATACCTGCGCACCGTAGCTCTTGACCCCAGCCTACGCAGGAAGCAAAGTAACTCCCAGTTCGTCGTAATCGAATCAAACCAAGTGAATTGATTGGCTATCTCTTAGGTGTAGCGAGTCCGGGACCGGGGAAGCATTTGCTTAGGTATCGAGTAAGACTCCTCGGAACCCAATGACGGCGACGGCGCAAATAATAGGCAACAATCGTCTGGAGTCTTCAACAGCTCTCCGCCGGGTTGTAAAACAGAGAAAACAAGAAGAGGGGCAAATCAAATTTTGCCGCCATTACATGGACATGTCTCGGCTTTATGGCGAAAACGTGCGGGTGACTCACACGAATGAAAAGGATTCGAGACTCTCGACATCTTTCCGCGGCCGCTACTGGTGTGTCGAGAGTGTGATCACCTTTTCTCGATTGTGGAGAGAAAGTTGAGTCACACACTCGTCGGTCACAGAGTCTAACACCGGACTCGCGCACCCTCGTGCCGCTCTCGAGCAGAGAGCTCCCGGCTCGCCTTTCCGCGAGCAACTCACACCGGCAGCGGCGGCCAGCACATGGTGTTCGGTGTTTGGAATCGCTGGTTTTTGATAGTTTGGCTGACAATGGAGGGCCCGTGATAAGCCACTTGACCACCTGCTCTAACAAGTAACTCGATGCAGCCGAGTTGCTAAAAGCGAATGGAACCGCTTAACGGAATTCCTGTGTCAAAGCATCCCACGCAGCTCCTAATGTTTGAGTAATTTTTTATTCTAGAGAAAGAAGATTCGATTCCTTTCGCATATTGATTCTTGCTATTCTGCTCCCACAATGTGCCGAACGATCAACCGATCCGTTATCAATTTCTCCGCTGTCCCGGAAATATCGGTATAGGTACTCAGAGCTGCTTCAGTAACCGAATTTGACTCCCAGCCGAAGCCTCCTCGATTCCTAATGGGAAGCGGATAAATTAACGACAGGGCTCGTCGCCCTTAAAATCCCTCTCGTACTCTTTTCAGGGTCTGAATGCCCGTCTCTGACAAGCCTCAGCACAAAGCTCTCTGACTTATCGATCATGGATAAAACAACTACATGGAGTCGATCAAAGGTCTCTAGATGCCTTTGTGAATTCTTCCGTCCAAATCTCGGTCATCTACACGCCATTACGTTCTCGACCAGCTGATTCCGGCTTGGGAATGCAATGTAATGCGGGACCGCGCGGGTCGATCCCGGAAAGAATGAGTGATCGGTGCTCCTCCGTTCTGGAGAGGCATGGTTTTCTGGATGACCGATTCTGAGATCTAGGGTGAGGTACCCGAGATACATCGAGAGATACAGATCTTCGGGCATGGACACCGATCGCATCGGATGATTCTCTCCGGATGTACCCTTCATAGAATTGTTACACTACACAGAGCTCGCGAATCTCTGCAGGACAAAAAGGGTTAGATATGCAAAGAGGAACATTCTTGCGAATTCCTGTCTACAGAGTGAACGCGCATGGAAGCTGAGAATCTTGTGGAGTTATGAGAATGGATAACCGAGTAGAGCTCTCGCTCGCAGGTAGAATTTCAGTGAAAGAGAACGGAAGGAGGTGTTAATGTCAGCGCACCTTGGATCAAGCTCCGCGAGATTTCTATTCTCCTCGAAAATTCGGAGCTATTGATATTCCTAGTCAGGGAACCTCGGGAAGCAAATTCGGTACTCTGACGACTTCAACCTTCGCAGACTCCAAGAGAGGGAGTCCGGACTTGAACAGGTGGTTCTCTTCGACGTAAAGCACGCGGTCGAGCCGCGTTCTGACGATGTGCCTCGCGGACTCCTCATTCGGACAGCGCGTCGTGTATAGGGTGCAGCCCGGAAAATCCCGCTGGTCGATGGCATCGATCTCAGCCTGATCAACTGTAGAACACGAGAATTCCGTGTCAATCAGCAATTCGAAATTCAGAACGCACATAGACTCGGTTCACATCTACTCGCGATTCTCCATCGTCTCACCGAAATCATTGTACTCTTCTTTCCCGATCCAGTGTTTGCCCGGCGGCCACTTACTCAGGCCTTCACCGACAACTCTATTCTCTGGGTTCACGACCAAAGCCGCAACCTGGGGGAAGATAAATAGGTCTATTGTAGTATCGAGGGAAATGACATGATGGAGATCCAGGTAGCCCGTCGTCATTCTTCGCACATATCAGCACGACGTTGTGGGCCGGAATGCTGGTGCGCACATCGCGAACCTGGAAACTGCGAAACTCAACCTGGCTCAATCCGTCGGTGTCCTCCTTCGATTTCCAAGCTTGTCTGAGGAACCGTTTATCATTTTCGGTGCACCGCTTTTCCATTTTCTCGAACTTGTGTAGTGTGCACGTACTTCACAACGGCGGCCTAGTTCGCTAGTATCGTCTCCTCTCCTCAACACCAAATATTGGAACAAGTGGATCAAGTCGTGAGATAAGGTGGCGTGCTCTTGGGAGAGGTGAGAATATCTAGTGGGAGAGGCTGTGATCCTAGAGCATTCCAGGGAGAGGAATGCGTAGCTCTGCGGATATCGGAGGATGCGGGAAATTCCAATCCAGGTATGGGGAAGGCGCAATGGATTCCCTAAGCTCCCGGAAGCGATGGTCAATCTCGGTGGGAGACCCTCACCTTCTGCTTTCTGTAGAGGTACGGGCGCGGCGCATTATTTCGTCAAATGGAACCATCTGCATAGAAATTAGGGGAACGAAGAACGGGAACGGTAAGGAACTTACTAGAGACCGCGCGATCGATCATCTATCTATCGATGATCGGTATGAAATACAGAAAGCGAATCTTTTTCGTGGGGCAACCTCGCCCAGCCATTCGGGAGCATGTTATGCACATGATTCGAGAGATTCCAGGACGTCTCGTCTTACACTGGCACGACGCGGTGTCCTAGAATCTCATGACTGAACAAGATGGCTCGATCTGCGAGTAATAAATTCACCCGGCACGATGGAAACATCGATGATTGGCAGCGAAATGTGTTGCCTTCCACAGTGTTGCTCCGTTGGAAAGGATTTTGTTCTGCATGAAAATCCGCGTGGAGTCGAAACCTGGAAAAATTCGGCGCAATTGAATCCCGCTTCACGGAGGACGCGGGGTTTTCGGTTGCGTAGCTCCGTTGGAGGGAAAGTCATCTTGCCGCTGAGGCGCACATCATCAGTCCCGATTCTCCGGAAATTTCCCCGGCTTACGAGGATTTCCATTCGAATAACTCGAATTTCGCGCGCAGTCGCCTGCGACCTGTCTCTCGGATATCCTTGGATTGTGAGGAAAAAAGGTCGAATGCACACAAGCAATAAGAACCCAGCAATCAGGGAGGGATCGATGGCTGCTGTGCTTCCGGAAGAAGGGCGACGGGCGCAGCATCTCTCCGAGAAAGTCCATGGAGAAACTCCGACATGAGCGGTGGAAGCCCCAGAGCTTGAGCAGATCATCGAATCCGCAATCGGCGCGGCGCGCCGGTCGAATCTCCGTTTTCCCCTTTCTTTCTCGCGCTCGGAAACGTCAAGTCTCGCCGCCATGTTTTCGACAGAATCACCATCCGTCGAATGATCCGTGAGAACACTATTTTCTGAATGTACAAGTCGTGCTCTCTCTCAACGCTCTGCCGGAATCGAACGACATGGATCGCGCAGTCGCAACACAGTGAGTTGAGCAGCCTTCGCTGCTCGTGGAAGAGGAGGCATCGGACGGAGCACTCCGGTCGTGGGTTTGCCGCAACCACGGTGAGTTCGACTCGCTCTACGCAACGTGAGCTCTCCCGGATGATTTCGATGTTCTCCAGAGAACGTGCCTCCGAGTGAGCCGAGATATCCTGATCGAGGATTGATTCGGTGTCTCTCGACTCATTGACGCTGAGCAACGAGGCGCTTCGGATTTCACATCCTGAACAGCGAACTCTTCTCCAGTTATCTAAACCCTTGACGTATGCCGGTCGACTCGTTTCACGTTTTCAAAAAAGTCTTCTCTGCCGCACGATGGCAGAGCATGTGAAGGAGGTTCCGGAGAGAAAACGGGACGATTTCCTCAGATGGGAAGACTACTTTATGTCTCTGGCGAGTATCTCCGCGATGAGGAGCAAAGATCCCAACACTCAGGTGAGTTCCCAACATTGATGGGTCGATACGGCATCCGGAAAAATTCCATTCTTGGGAATCATTATCTGAATTCTCTCCTCAACGCCATTCTCAGGTAGGAGCCGCCATCATCACGGCGGAATTCAAAGTTGTCGGTCTCGGTTACAACGGGATGCCGATCGGCTGCCATGACGATATCATGCCATGGGGTAAAATGGGCAGCGATCTCTCTGAGACCAAATATGGGTTCGGTGAGTCCTCAGCACTGTGTAGGTCGAATTAGATGACTATCGTCAATAAGAATTGCCGGGATGGAGCATTAGCGCTTGCTCTCAGACTGGCCCCGCGAAGATCTCTCCCGAGATTTTTCGGAGGTACATTCATTTTGCCGAGTCGTGAGTGCTCGTCCCGCGAAGTTTTCCTCCTGAACAAGGAAATTCTTCGCGTCTGATGATGGAAAATCGCGGGACGTAATGGAAGCGCTCACTCTCAATTCTAGAGTCGTCTCCGTATATATTCGTACTCTATTCAGACCGTAATTTCCAGTTTGCCACGCCGAGATGAACGCCATCATGAATAAGAATACTCACGACATCTCTGGGAGCACTATGTACACAACTCATTTTCCATGTAATGAGTGTGCGAAGCTTATCATCCAATCGCGGATCAAGCGTGTTGTGTACCTCCATCACAAGAAGCCGCAAGATCCGATTTACGTTGCTGCGGCCTTCCTCTTCGATACTGCTGGCGTGAAATGCAAGAAATTCGAAGCTGAGAAACCCTCGATCACTATCAACCTGTCCGAGAGGCCATCTTGATCGACATGAACATCCACAGCATTCCTCCAAGACGGGTGGAAGAACTTTTCCCAAGCTATGGTTCCAAGTACGATCTCCTATCTCCTCAATGAAATTATGGAAATGACAATGAGTGAAACTTTGAATGAATGATGTGATTCATATTCTGTCTTGTGAGACTCATCAGCCTCATTTTTCACCTACCTCGCCTCAAGTTAGATGCTCAACTCTATCGTCGGTTTTGATTTACCCTCCCATTGCATGAATGGCGTTGAGACGATTGACCACGGCCCTACCATGAGACGCGGTGATACCGGGCGGTTATGCGAGGCTCGTGCAGAAGGGATCAGACACCCGGCTAGCGACTTGAATCTTTCTCCGAGAAAGAGTTCCGTCCAGGAAAAATGTGAACTGTCACGAACAGTAAGCTCAGCCGCTAAGTCTGACGCAGAGTTGATTTCAAAGATATCGCGCGAATTTTCAAAGTAAACAACGCGTTGGTGATTTTGGGTGTTTCTCATTGAGATTATCTGACCACACGCCTTTCTTCGAGGGAAAAAATTCCGGCAGCCGGCGAGGGGTCGTTTGAATGCGCATACCTCTTCTCCCTTCCCGCTCCGCTCAAGGGAAAGCCCATGCTTTTGGTGGACGAGGAAGTCGGGGGAGAATAGGGACATGCTTAACTAGTGTTGACGGCCATGACATCGATTCGGATCCAGAGCTCCGCTAGCCATATCATCGCCTGTGTGTGACAGTGTCGAATATTAAGGCTCTACCCTTCCTCGGTTTGGGTGGCATTGCTCTCAGCTTATCTCTGTGTCGATCGATGTAAGGCGACGCACAGGTATCAGCGGCAACAGAGCGACGACATCAGAAGATATTGCCGACCTCATTCGTCTCGATTCGGTACCAAACGGGCGTGGCCTCTGACCCTTTATCTATTCTGCGGCTACGGATAAGTTTGACCGGTCGCAGACCAAAATAGGATAGAATGCGGTATTCAGTGTGTCTCCCATGAATCCCTCCCCGGAACGACTTTCCACGACTCGGTATTCGCTAGTTGCCAATACCTAAACTCGATATTTCAACCGTTCCGCCAAGCCGCTGTCTCCTCCGAGGAAAAAATCCATGACACACATATGTACATACTACATACATGCAGAACGCCCACATGTGCCCTCACTTGTTCTCTTATGTTCTTAATCCACGGTCTAATCTAGGAGCGTCACTGTCCAAACACTACTGGATGTCCCACAGCTCGGAGTAGCAAAAACATTCGTAAAAAACATGAAACATCAGTTCCGAGTCGCTCCCAGTTCATCTCTTGGAGCTCCTGTCGGTTCGTGTCTCAATGTCCACGTTTTTTTATATCGTTACACCTGTGTGCGTGCGTGTCTCCATGTCTTGGGCTTCTCCTCCCTCATTCCATGTCTCGTCCGGGTTACGCGTACCCCTTCGGAGTCCCGCTGTCTCTGGTAATACACAGTTGTGGCAGCTGTGCCAATTTCGGAGTTCGTCTTTGATTGGACGACGACACTGACGATGATTTGTAAATCCCGCCAATTTTCTCAAATTCGCTTACCTCACATTTTGAGTTTCGCTCGTTCGCTCGATTTCCTCCGTGCTCTCTAGGAAGGGAGTAATTCAATTTCTTACCAAAAAGTAGCTCATGGAAGTCAATTAGACTCCTGGCGGTCTATTCTGTGCTCTCGTGGCGGCTCTCCACGGGACCGTCAGATTGAGTGTTCGACTCGTGATTCATGATCTAAAACTTTCCAGTGTTTTCGAAGTCGTCATGAGTTCCAGGTCGAAGACATATCTATAATTGCGGGAGACATTCACCAACAAACATTGTTGCTTGTCGGCTCTCGATCAAGGGCCTGGCTTAACAGGGGCAGCGAATCCTCGCGGCGATTCCGATCGAGGGAGAAGGATAACGAGGACACCCTCGATTGAGCAGATCTTGCAGAAGAAATTATTACTCCTCCGTTAGGTCTGCCTTTAAATACAGCTGCTGCGAGGGACTGTGATACTGAGTCGAGTAACTCCGGGAGGGGAAAAATCGCTGATAAGGAAGGATCAACCAAACATGCTGTCTTGAGCCTGCATTGTTAACCCTCTCTGGCCGCGTGTTTCATCTGAGCGGAATCTACCCTGTCTTTTTCTTTTCTTGTTTTCCCTTCTTGTTGCCGCTGTTGCTTCGGACTCTCCTGCGATCTGGCCTTATAGCGTTTGCTCGGGCTAAACTCGAGGCAGTAGATAAATCACTGTGGAGGTGTGGAGATGGTGCCCGTTCATTGCTAAGAAGAGACGAGCTCCTCAGTTTTGCTTCCAGCGATAGGGATCGGCAGCGACATCTGATGAGCTTATACGACTTCGTTTGGTCCAAATCGACGCTTTTGCTGTCAGACTTCCCAGATATTAGTTGGAAGAAGAAGACTCCTCATGGGCATGCGGGATTCACAGGATTCTCCTTTCGGTCTGGCTGTAGTCAGGACTCGCTCTCCTGCGAGAGATCAATGGTGAGCGTCTCGCCAAAAAGCATGTTCGACCCCGAGGAATAAGGCTCTCGTTCTGCCGAAGAGGGAATGAATTTGTTCATAAATTTCAAATTGGATGTTTTAACAAAATTGGCCCCTATACTTGGCGCAGAGGGACCGCGACTCAAGCGAGCGACCCCGCCCGAAGTTCGCGGTCGCGATTGTGTATTGAGACGAAAGCTTTGTGGCTGCGTATGCACACACACACATACAAGCGGAGAGATATACTCAGGGAGAACTTGCGAGAAAACATACACGCGGATCGGGTTTACTCTTGTCGCCCGAGGCATCTGAAACCACTCCCAGCCGGCCACAACCTCAGCGTCCAGATATGACGAGGACAACGACGTCTGCACCAGCAGAGGTGACCGACCGGCCAGCGAGTCATCATGTCGTCGGGGTTCCTTGAATGTTATGCTTCGTTGAAATAACAACAGAATCCAAAGAATATTCTTCGTTTCGATTCTTCGACTCGGACGGAGCGGCTCTTGTTTTCATACGAACTGCGGCATCGCGAAAACGGCATCAAGTATTCCTCCACGTATTTATCGTTTTTTCCGCGATCTCCTAGTTTCCCCCGACCCTCGCTTCCTCGATCCCTTTACCCGCGGACACCAGAGTAGGCAGAGCGCGGAGCACGACAATAGCGGATATTTCACTTGTGCGATGCACCTCATCGACATCGCTGAGCAAAAGGATACGACGGAATGAGTCACCTGAATGAATTCGACCTGGTTAGCGGGTTGTAAGTGGGTGGTCAGGTGGCAGACTAGCAGAGCTAGGCAGGTCATGTTTAGCGAAAGGATTACGCTGCTCCCTGTCTTTCTCGCGAATACACCGTTGACATAAATTGCTTCTGTGCGGACATAAATTGCATAAATGATGTCCATAGTGTTAAGCTGAGAGCATGCTGCATGGCATGAAGCAGTTAGACGACTGCAACTCGACTCCTCCGATCGGGAATCCTCCCCCAGTTTATTGTTTCCGTCTCGGCTAGTGGCGACTCTGTACCGACCTCAAGAAACTCCTGGAGCTCTCTGTCTCGTATCCCCAGACATCTAAGGGGCTCGGGGAGCCGGTAGCTCGTTCGCCAGTTTGCACTGTAGATACGTCCGGTCCCTCAGCGCCCCGACTCGGGGAAGCTCGGCGCTGGCTCGCTTCAGCTTGTCGCGACTACTCCCAGGGCAAATAGGTTTTTCCATCGTCGCGAGTGCGTGCAAGAGCGAAAACTAGCTGGAACTACCCACCTCTAACCCTTCCATGGCGGAGTTAACTGGCGGCTCGCATTAACAGGCTCTTCGCAGGTGCTGTCAGCAGGACTCCGTTTTCTCTACCAGAAGGGCCAACTATCACAGGTGTATGTCGCTCAGCGTCGCGGCCTGTCCCGCTAACTGTCCGCGCCTGCTCAGCCGACGATTTAACCCTATGCAAATTTGTTTGCGAACGCCACTCACCGCCGCTGTAAATACCCCGTCTTTCCCTCCGTACGCGAGGATGGATAGCCTCGTGGGATGGATGGATGAATGGACGGATTGCTGCCAGATATCGAAGAGTCGCCGGAGGCTCCTCGATTTCTGCATGTCTCGGGCTCTTCAGCGGTGCAATCGAGCGCTTCGATATCACACCTGAAAGCGTGATTTCGGTTCGGTTACGGTCGTTACCTAAGATCAGGATCCGCGCCTCCTTCACGGATCCCACTTGCTCGGTGCGTCATCTCCGGCTGCGCAATTGTTGGGACCCCGAAGGGGGGAGCCATGCGCGACACGAGTGAGCGCCTAATGTTGTTGTGTTGAAACCGAGATGGCCATTTAATATTACAGCAGCAATTCATTATAAATAAATTTCGTCACCCTGTACACGCCCACTTCGGGAGCGATTGGGGTAGGGAGGAAGTCAGCGAGTCACCTGCTTCTGGTTCAAAGGGTGGAAAATTTCACTGGAGGGAGGCGTTGCGAGTCGTTCAAATCGATATCAACCCGGCCAACTCTTCACCCACCATTAACGGCGATTCGATTCAACCTGTTCCGACTCCGAGATGCGCGAGTCAGCGCCCTAGCCTCCCACCAATTCATCAAGAAGCATTCCCCGCATCACTTCCTCGCAGGCCCAATTCCACCCTGTCTTTTTTTGTGGATGCCTTCGCGTCGGAATTCCTCCGAAAGGAATATCCGCGAGATCGGCGCCGTTCGAAGACGGCGCGGCGTCGACGTGCCTTCGACAACAGGTGCCCCGAAAGTTCTTCTCCAATTTGCTGCCGAAAAATCAGATCCGTGAGGTGAAGCTCAGAAATCATCGACATTGATATAGAAGGGGTTGAAAGCCCATCTGTATGGTAATCTCGACGAGCAAAAATTCAATCAGACCCCATGTAATATTTTTGCGAAGCCACTTCCGGGGGTTACTTTGAAAATTGGCCTTGCCACATCATCATCGCGGCTCAGCCACCAACTAGCAGAGCCGTGGCGGACCACATAGTCATTGTCGACGAGGGTTAGAAAATTGGCCGGTTCAGTTGCTTTGACTGCTGGCTCGTAAGGGTGACTGGCACGCGAGTCAATGCAACAACCCCTCGCTTTGAGCTTCTCGACAGAGCGCAGAACACGCGAAGTCAAGTCGAGTCAAGCTGACTTAGC